AGAACATTTGAAAGCTTCTAACATGCTTTATGTCCAGAAAAGAAGATACTTGTACGAATGCAAGAACAATTGAATAAAAAAGCTCTTTAATGAAACTTATCTCATCAATGTACAATTGAGCTAGCTAGATGTAGCCGAAACGTTTCTGCTGACAAGTATCTTTTCTCGCACCTCTCGTCTGTGGAACTCCCTTCTGGTCCAGTGCTTTCGAGCCAACTTTAATCTGCAAAAGCTTAAATGCAATATCAATTGCTATCTACTGTCCTCCTGACTGTCATTTTACTCTTTCTCCTCATTACTAATGTTTTTGTTCCTCCACACCCGTTGCTTGTTAGTGGCTGCAGTGCCTTGCTTGGAGTGATACCGATATAAAAAAAAAAGTGATAGCTGCCCAATACACACACACACACACACACACACACACATATATATATATATATATATATATATATATATATATATATATATATATAAAGAACTGCCAGAATTTCTCCAGAGTTTTGAATTTAGTCTACTCTACTATTTAATCTATAGCTGGAGACGGATAATGGATTCATGACTTTCTCATGTAAATGTAACAAACTGAACCGGAATTGAAACTAGTCTCGCCGATTTTAATTTCCACGCCAGTAATTGCTACACCACTTGTGAATCAGTTTGGAGATCGTAATTAAAAAAAAGGATTTTTTTTTTTTTTTTTTTTTGCGTGTCCATGCATTCGTGCGCTAATATATATATAGTTTTTATATATATATATATAAAAACTATCTTAAAACCTTTTTTTTAATAGTTTTAAGTTCTTTTGAAGTTTTATTTTATTTTTAAATATAGTTTTAATATTTTTTAATATAGTTTTTTTCGTGTTCCTGCATTCCTATATGTCTGTGCGTTAATATAATTGCTACAAGAACAGAAATCTCAAATAATATTCAATTTTAAAATCGGCAATGTTTTATTGTTATTTATTATTTTTAGCACACGGGGTTAAAATAATATCAATTTCTCTTTGGTTGTTTCGTCACTTCAATCTTTTTATAAAAGTGTCTATGTTTAGTTCTCATACTTTCTACAATTCACTTCTGATGTAAAAGTCTAATATTTTTCGATTCTCCCTTTAGTACTCATTCCTTAGGAGCTGTTGACCGATCTTTCTTTTACAAGTTGATCAAATCATTCTTCCATAATTAAATTGTCTTCCCAGTAAATAAAGGTAAAAAGATTTCACATCAATTATCAACGTTGCCAGTGTTTAAATATTTCTACAAAAAATATAAAAAAAAAAAAACTTAAGATAATTTTTTTTATTACCAAATTATTTCTGAAAAGTTAAATAAAATCTTAGAAGTATTTGATTATTTAAGGTTAAAAATATCAAAATTTGTTTTATGTCAGAACAGGATTGCCCATCCCAGGCTGGCGATTGACCAGACTGAGAAATTAAGGTTCCAATGTCTTATTTCAATCAAATTGTGCATGTTTGTATGCGTACATTAAATGGCACAAGCACGTGTAAGTCACTCCCACACAGCGGAGACATGAACATATACATGAGATACTCACATGCAAAGTCACACGCAGTGTGTGATGGACAGAGAATTACACCTTTTTTTTATTCATATAGACTGTCAGCTTTATAATATAACCCATGATATCATAGGTAGGACTCATAAAACGAATCCGTCATTTTTTCCTCCATTTCCTTGATATTAAAGTGCTTAATAGAACCGGGGACTTGAATTTTTTCCGAGGAAATTTCTCAACAAAAGAGTTTAGTAAAACCACTCCGTTTATTAATTTCGCACTTTTTGCCCCCATTAAATTATTGCTGTATTTACATGAACTAATTGGTTGTTTGGCATTAGTCGCCGAAGACCTATTGACAAGTTCCTTATCATTTTCCAGCACCTTCCTCAGTATTCACACCACACCAGCACTACAGTTGTCTGTAAAGCTCAATCTTACTTTGAATTTAAGACCTGCTAGTGATTTACAAAGGAGGCCACATATGGAGGATTGTGAGCTGAGATCCCTGTTAGATTGGCTGACCCTTTTAGATCTTGCTCTCACTTCTTGAAGATGATTCAGACGAGCAGATTGAAAATTGCTGGGTCCACTAAAACACGTTGATCTCCATTCTAGCCGCTCCATATATGAAAAATGTCTATATATATGAAATGCCTTCACCATCAAATCATATGTACTGTTTTCTGGGCTGTCGGTTCCTAGGAACTGAGCTGCTTGACCCTCATACGTCGAATACGGCGGAAGAGACCAATGTTTATGAAAAACCTAATATATAATAATAATAATTATTATATATATATATATATATATATATATATATATATATATATATATATATATATATTATAAAGATACATGATCAAGTGGAAAGTTTTTGTGTGACGTGTTAGGACTTCATCGGTCTAGGTTTGTTTACGTTGACTCGACTACACATGCGCTCGAACGAGAGACGATGGGAATTTTAAATTTAGAAAAATATTTTTTGTTGTTGTTGTCAGTCTCGTTACGTTGAGCTACTAATGCATTTAACGTGTTTGTTTTTTTAAACGTTTCTTTCGTGTTCATATAATCTTTTATTTAAACGTCTTGACGTTTCCCCAGTATATTATTTCTGGCAATCCTTAATGGTGGTAGAGTAAATTCGTCCAAGTTTTGTCTTGTTATTTTCTTTTGAATAAGTATTATATTGTTTTAGACGTAGTTGTGACAAATTATATGTTGAGTTTTAGGTAAATTCTTTTCAATAGTGGGCTTGTCAGGAGGGGCCGCTTTTCTATTTTGGAATATTCTTTGAGCCTTTCGTTTCGTATTGAATAATTAGGTTATTTGAGGGTTTTGAAAGTATTTTCAATGTATTTCTCATCTTCATGTAAATATTGAGGGCTGCAAATTCTGAGTGCTCTTGAGTAGACTCCGATGATTATTCCGGATTTTATTTTGTTGTTATAATGGGAATAAAAAATTATTAGTTCATTTTTATTAGTCGATTTTTGATGGAGACTAAGTTTTAAGATGCTCTAAATGTAGTGAGACGTGATATCAACGAATAGCAAAGTGTTGTTTTCTTCCATTTTGTGTGTAAATTTTGTTCTCTGTTCGACTTAGTTTATCTATAAGATCAGGTAATTTAGTATCACGGGATATATTAATAGAGGATCATTAATATATCGGAAGTATATTGATTGTTTAGGTAAGATATTTTGGAAAGGACCAGATTGAAGAAATTCTAAGAAAACACGTGCCATCATTCCACCAAGAGGTAATCCAAATTTTTGTTTATAAAAATTATTATTAAATGTGAAATAGAATTGATTGGTAATAAGACGACATATTTTTATTATTTGACCTACTAGTAGGAAGATGTTTCTTTAATTGCGTCATGCTTTTTTAAGAGATTTAAACTTTTTTGAACCGGGACTTTGGCGTAAAAGTGATCTAGAATGATTATGTGTGAGACGTAGTTGAGCGAGACCATTAAAACTCCTTGTGACGCCAATGAACTGAAGGCAAACGATTATGGCGATAGTTTGTTGTCAGCAAAAATACGTAACCACTGGTGGTGTCTTTTCCCCCACCGTTGTTATTGTGCTCCTTATATCTCTTTATAAGTATGAGGAGTTGCATTCAGAAAGCTCATTGTATTATAAATATAATAGCATTGTTCTGTCAGTAACACAGGTATTAATTCATGACCATTGTAAATGATTGTCTTCCTCATATTCAGTGCAAAACACGAAGACTGCTAAAATGCGCTAAAAATTTTCAAATATTGTAAAATTCGCTGTTTAACCCTAAATTGATTTCTTTAATTGCAAAACTATTTAGTTTCCTAGTACAGAAAATCACTGAAGTAGAAGTGTGGCGGAGTAGCGGTATAGACAGTGGTCACCGATAAACAAAATCTTTGCCTCCGTATGCTACATTCAAACGCATTAAATGCTAAAATAAAACTGATTACGGTTTCCCCTTTCGCCTCGCCTTGTTATAATTTGCTATATGTGTGTAATCATTATACTTTGGTGTCTGACACAAGGTTTGGGAGTTTTAATATTTGGGAAGGTCTTAATTTTTCTAAACATGCAATAAACCGGGTGTCTTAATCAAAGGCGGATTGAAAAATAATTTAAAAGGTTAAAAGGAGCCCAATTAATAAACGAGTTGAACTTAATAAACCCGGGTGGGGAGTCGGAAAATTTCCCCCAGGAAAATAAACAATGCTCCTAAAAAAACTATTTTGCCCCTAAGAGTAAACGGAATGAACATTTTGTAGGATTTGTTTAATAAGTCCTACCTATGATATCATGGGTTGTATAATAAAGTTAATGAACTATATTATATGAAAAAAAAAACAAAAAACAAACATCTGATTCTGTCCGTTAGACATTGTTTGTGGGTGACTCTTGCATGCTAACCTGCAGGAGAGTAGTTCAGTGCGCCTTCTCAGTCTAATGTTTTCATCTCTAAATTGGAACCAGATTCAATTGACCAGTCAGCTGGTTCTAAAGTTGGTTCCCTGTGTCGTTCTAGACATTTTTTCTTGTCAGAATGTATCTTACACCTTCATAAGTTTACTTTTCATCCGTACATCGAATATTTCTGCCACATTAGGTCTGGTGCTTCTGCTAAGTAGCAAGAGATTCTTGGCAAAAATCCAAAGAAGAATCTGCAATATTATCGGTTTCAACCTGGTATCTCGGCTTCAATCACTTTCCCACCGCTGTAATTTATTTTTTTCTATTTTTTTTTTCTATTTTTTTTTCTACAAATATTTTCATGGCAATGTTTTAACGAGTTTTCTTCTTTCGTACTTTGACTTGAGGAATTTAAACGTAGTACTAACTTGGCAACGATGTTTCAACATTTAACTGTTGAAATTGCTAACCGTAAGTTCTTTGCTAATAGTTCCTCCTCTTGCACTACTCGATTGTAGAACACTCTTCCGGCTTCTCGATTTCTTGTTAGCTACAATCTACAAA